TGGTGAGAATTGTTATTTCTATGTTTTGCCCGTTAAATTTTAAACATCCCTTCTTACGGCATATTTTTTATATACGTATGATCATTTTTTAGGGATGACAAAGGAACACCGAGTATTATATATGAATGAGACTAACATGCTTAATTAGGGAAAGACAATATAAACTCAAGCAAGTCTCTTTGGTCTTCATGATGTCATTATCTTTTATAATTACTCTTATGTAATACTTCGTATAGTCTTATTGTATTTAATTGTACCACGAATAAGATTTTAAATCTTTAAGTACAGATCGATATTGATATTCGTTGTATCGAATTTTAACTTTGGTCTCAATTGTTTCTTTATACTTACTCCGTTAATTGTTATGTGCAACTTTGAGGTATTATTTATGAAAATAAAAAAATTCTAAAGTTGCACATAATATTTAACAGAGGTAATATTAACTAATCATTGTGGGTTCCTCTAATTGGTCCAAACCTTTTAAAATGTACTCCGTACAAAAGTTGGAGATTTTTTTGAACAATGCATGTATGTTGCAAAATTGGAAAAGATGCGATTCCCAATAGGACAACGTCAAGTTGGGAGTAGATGACTTATAGAGATGACAGATGAGGTGTTTTGGATGGTACAACATGGTTTTGTTTCTCTGAAATCCCAAAATGCAAAGGAATTTTGGGATTCTTCACATGGCCATGATTTATTGGAATTAGCTCGGTATCTTGATCTCTCTGTAACATTAACTAAAATTAAGATTATCTTTGAGAGAAAATGAGTTGCATGCTCTAAGATTACCTCACAACAAACAATTGCAAATCCAGGATTTTGGTGTTACCATGTCAATGTGTAGTATGAGGTGTCGACTGTATTAGAAGTTTCATTCTCACATTAAAAATCCCGGCAATTATATGCAGATTTAGAGGTGTAAATGAGCCAAGCCGAGCCTAGTATTAGCTTGTTCAAGTTCATTCAACTTAGGCAAGTTCGAGCACGATCCCGAGCTTTCAAGCGAGCTCAAATTTCTGTTCAACCTTGGCTCATTTAGTACACTATATGTTCACGAACGGTTTGTGAACAACCTGTTTATTTAAACGAACCTTACATGAACTAATAACTTAATAATAATCGAGCTTCTTCAATAAATGAGCTTTGTACTTTTGATATTTGAAAATTTCAAAATTAGCATGATAATTGAATCTTAACTTATGAATTCAATAACTAAATTAACAATGGTAAATAAACCAATGATTCATGAACATAGATAAACGAGTAAATCATGATTCATGAACATAAATAAACGAGTTGTTCATGAACTTATCTGAACGAGCATATCTATGTTCATGTTCAATCTCATTTATTAAACGAGCTTCAAAATTTGTTTAAGCTCGCCACATTCATTAAATAAACATACATGAACGAGCTTCAACCAAGCCCGAACGCGAGTAGTTTATTGATCAGCTTGGTTCATTTACACCCCTATGCAGATTGTGCAAGTAGTTACTCCGTAGTATTTTTTATAAAAAAAATCCATGTAATATACTACCTCCGGTTCTTATTACTCGCAACAAAGGGGTATTATTTGTGAGACATAAAATATTCATTTGTTACGAGTAATTTGAATCGAAGGTAGTACATTATCTACTCATCGTATTAAATTGGGCAAATATTTTGATCCTATATTAATCATACCCAATAATAATCCTATCTAGACCATGTTTATTAAGACTCGTTAACCTTTACTTTGACCCTATTATCATGGAGATATCCAACCAAATAACTAGATTACTCCATAAGTGTGAAAAGGTGAACCAATTGCACAATACAAGGAAAATGATACGAGTAACATTGTGATTAGAATTTAGAAGTTTTAGTTGGTGACGCTAACAAGGAAAAAGGAATCAATTTCAACTTTTCCTCATCTTGGGGTTTTGTACATGGTGCAAATTATTTCTACACTCCACTTTATTCCAAAGACCAAAAAGTTACGATTAACCTAATTTTGGTAGAACTTAAACTATTGACTATTGAGTAGCATTTTCTCATTTTTTTTAAGGAAAAATTAGAAAATAACACCCAAAAATTGTCACGATTTTGATAATAACACCACAAAAAAAAACTTAGATTATAACACCATCAAAAAACCAAAAATTTTGATTTCAACACCACTTAACTTTTTCATCCAAAAAACTGTTAATGGGTCCCACATTGTACACGTGCCAATTGTGCATTGGATTAAAATAAATAAAAAACAAAAAAAAAAGAAAATTAAAAAAAAAAAAGGAAAACCCTTAAAATACCCAGCCACCATTCCTACCTCCGTTCTCCAACTCAGCCTCCACCACCGTCACCCAATCCCAACCGACCACCCTCGACCCACAAAACCAGCCAGCCGACCACCCCTTGACTGCCGAAATCAGCCCAAACGTACCCACGAAAGAACCCGAACCCCGATTTGGTTCAAGGTGAGGGTGAGAAGAGTAGGGCGGTTAGTGGGTTTGGGAATGGGTGGGTTGGGGTTTCGGCGGTTTGGCGACGACTTTTGGTTGGGTTTGGTAGAGGAGTACGGTGGCTGGGCTGGTTAGGGTTGGATTTGGGTGGTTTGGCGATGGATTCGGGTCGGGGAGACGATAATGGGGGCTGGGCTGGTTTGGGTTGGGGTATGGGTGGTTCGGCGACGACGGGGAGACGATGATGGGGCCTGGGCTAGTTTGGGTTGGGGTCTGGGTGGTTCGGCGACGGTGCGGTGAGACGATGATGGGGGCTGGCTGGTTTGGGGTCTGGGTGGTTCGGCGACGTCTGGGAGGCAGTGATAGGGGCTGGGTTGGGGTGCCGACCATGGTAGGGTTGAGTTAGGGGCTGGGTTGGGGTGCCGGCCATGGGCGCCGGTGGTGGTGGTGGTGGCTGGGTTAGGATTATAGGGTTTTTCTTTTTTTTTGATTTTTTTTTGAATTTTTTATCCAATAGTTGATTGACACGTGTACTGTGTGGGGCCCACTTAACGGTTTTTTTGGATGGTAAAGTTAAGTGGTGGTGAAAGCAAATTTTTGGTTTTTTTTGTGGTGTTATAATAAAAACTTTTTTTTTTTGTGGTGTTATTATCAAAATTGTGACAATTTTTGGGTGTTATTTTCTAATTTTTCTTTTTTTTTATGTAGTAATTTTTATTTTTTATTAAGAAATTAACTATTACCTCTATTTATTTGTAACGATTTGACATAAAGTAAAGAGAATTTGTTAAAACGAGATAAGCTAAAATACAGTCCCTGAACTATGGCATTAGTTGCATATTTGGTCACTCATCTTTCAAATGAGGCAAATTGGTCCCTCTATCACCCTTGTCTCACCATTTCCGGTGGAGGAACTTATGAGTCAGTAAAGTTTGGGGATGTGTACTGCCAACTAAGCAAAAGTTAAGGGACTTATCCTAGTTAGCATTTGTTTAGGGATTACAAATCATTTTTTTTTTGTCAGCTACTAATTAATATTTATTATTTATTATGTACAAACTTTGATTAAAATGAAAGAAAACATACCAAAATTTTTTGCTTTTTTTAAAATTAAATGACTATTTAAAAAAAAATGACTTAGAGAATTAAAGAAGAAAATTAAATATGACTTAAAAAATTAAATACTTTGACTTTCTTTCAAAAAAAAAATTCGAATTAAAGAAATAGGAAAAGGAAAAAAAAAAAGGGTCGGCCCTCTCTTTTTCTCTTTCGGTTTGGCTGCTCTAATGGGGAATCCCCTACTTTGCACCTCATTAACGATCATCATCAATCACCATCTTTTAATCCCAGCCTTTGATTTATTTTGTGATTTAATCTTGGCCTCCTGATTTAATTAATTCTGTACAAGCTCATGCACAATATAGTTCAGCCGAACCGGAGGTTTGGGTTGCGTAGTTGATTAATGACGGTGGTGAGGCTGTAGACGGGTGGAAATGGGGTTATGTGTTTGTGGCAGGTTGTTGGTGATGTGGGGTGAGAAAAGGTGAAAAATCCTATAGTTTTTTTTAATTTTTTTTTGTGTGGAAATTCTATAGTTTGATTAATGCAAATCATAACCAAAATATTAATGTTGATGGGAAAAAAAATTAATGTTAGTTAAAAGATTCCCTTTTAAAAAAAAAACTAACAAAAAAAATAAAAAAAATTTAATTAATCATGGTCCCTAAACTTTTGCTAACTAGGATAGGTCCCTAAACTTTTTTTAAAATATTATTTTTTTGCCACATGGGTGCCCACATGGGCACTTTGGTCCTTAAACTTTGGTGACTCATCTTTTTTCCACCGGAAAAGTAAGTTATGGGTGGTTGAGGGACCAATTTGCTTCGTTTGAAAGATGAGGGACCAAAATGCTACGAATACTAAAGTTGAGGGACCGTATTTTAGCTTAACTCTTGTTAAAACTATAAAGTAGTATCTTTCTACTCCGTAATATACTTATATACCTTGTAAAAACTCGCAACAATATAATTTTTTTTTTGAAAAGAAACACACATTTTTTTTTTTTGAAAAAACACATATCTTAATTTTTTTAACAAACATACTCCATATTTTATTTTTCTCTTAAAAATTTGTACTGTTTTACAATAATCAACTCTCCACAAAAAGTCAAAAATAGAAAAAGAATCTCCCCCATATCCCCTCCAATAGCCATTATTCATTATTGAATCAATTCTATCCAATTTTTAAAAATCAACCCCTAATTAACTATTCTAATAATCACAATTATCAAAGTTTGTCAATGACACACTACCTTGTCATCAAAAACCAAATATTTTAAAAATACCCCCCCCCCCCCAAAAAAAAAAATCCATACTTTTTTTTTTAATTATTCCGTATTATTTTTAAATTAAATTAATTAATTTCAGAGTTTACCAATTTTATCCTTTTGTCACCTCCCACAAATTACAATTGTCTCGAATTGATTAGTAGTTGTCATCCCATACTCAACCAACCCCACCTCCTTTCTATATATAACCCCAATCCCCTCTTCCCCTTTTCCTCTCACAAATTCATCCTTCCACTTTCTCTCTCCTCCTCAAAAATGGCGTCTTCTTCATCAATGGCTTCCTTCTCTCTCCTCCTCCTTTTCTCTCTCCTCGCCGTCTCCTCCGCCGTCGACATGTCCATCATCTCCTACGACCAATCCCACAACCTCCTCCCTTCTTCCTCCGAACGCTCCGACGACGAAGTCATGAACATCTACGAATCATGGCTTGTTCAACACCACAAGAATTACAACGCTTTGGGTGAAAAGGAGAAGAGATTCAAGATCTTTAAGGATAACTTGAAGTTAATCGATCAACATAATTCCGATGATTCGAATTCGTTTAAATTAGGGCTTAATAAGTTCGCTGATTTGACGAACGATGAGTTTCGATCTAAGTTTTTGGGGAAGAAGAAGAGTGAGAGTTCTTCGATGTTGAAATCGAAGGTTAAGAGTGATCGGTATTTGTTTAAGGAAGGTGATCAGTTGCCGGAGTCCGTTGACTGGAGAGCGAAAGGCGCCGTTGCTAAGGTCAAAGATCAAGGGCAATGCGGTAATTTCACTTCTTCCTTCTCACTTCTATTTTCGAATCTTTTTGTTCTTTGATTGTTGATTATGCTTATCTTACTTTATTTGATGAATTACTTAATTGTTTCAGATTTTAACTTATTATGGTAATTTTTCCAATTTTTATATTTATATGTTAGTTTAGATTTGAATAATGATTAATTTGGGTAGGGTTAGTGGAAAAATTAAGAATTTATGGTAATTGGATGAATTTTTTTGCAGAAGAACCGGATTGGACTGTTGTTTGTTTTTTTATGAGCAAGTGGTTGCGTATAATTGGGTGGAATTGTGTTGTTTCAACTAAATAAGATGCTTTTATCGTGCTGATATCTACCACTATTTTCCATTATTAAAGTTATACAGAAAAATATAAAGATTATTTTTTTTTAAAATTTAATTATTAGTAGTTCTTTATACAACAAATCGTTTTATATACACTTATAAGATAAAATAAGTTCGATTATTCCAATTCACTTAAAAATTGGCTCTTTTTATACTACCTCATATTATCGTAACAAGAATATTTTATGTCTCACACAATAATACTTCTTTGTTGCGAATAATGCGAACAGGAGGTTTTTGGTTGATTAGATTTGTTTTTATCATGTAGATTATCATAGTGTAAAGGTTCAGTGTATGTAGCCTGTAAATTAGGGAAAAGGTGAAATAGTTAAAGTAGATAGAAGAAGTCAAGAACTGGAAAATATTTTATCTTTAAATGAAAGAAATTGAATTATATTGTTTTATACTTCGTACTATTATTTTGCTAGAAATCAGGATAGTGGTTCTGTTCATGCTTTTTAATATTATCTTAATTTATATTATGAGTAATATATTTCATTAATATTGTTGATATTTGTTTTGTTTATCAACTTGTCCTTTTCCTCTCTAATCATTAATCATTGTAGATCAAGAAATAAAATTGGGTTATTAATTTATTATTTTGTATAGGACTATTATGATGATTTTTTATGGAGTAATAACAATTATCTAGTGTGAATTGTAAACTTTTGTTGTAGACTGGCCCCACTAAAAGTGCCTTAATACAATTTTCATTCTATAAACTATCTTTTTCTACTCTTGGCGTTTAGATGGCCCATATAATTAGATGCCCCACTAATTTCCTTAGTGTGTTCTAAAGTATCTATACTTGTCTATTTTGTATATGCTTCTTATGTGGCTTGGATATGAATCTTTTAGAAAAAAAATCTTTAGAAATTTAGAATAGTTGTTGAGATGAGTATGATTGACTTGTAGATAGCAGGTGGATGATGTTGTATAAGTGATGCTTAAATATTATGGAGGTGTTAACTAAGATGTAAATTTTTCTAATTTTGTAAAAGGTGTGGTCTATGAGAGTTAAATTGATGTGAATATTTGTAATTATGTGAAAGGTATGAATCCATGAGTGTATTTGATGTGAATAATTGATGTTTTCGAGGGGCCAGTGTTCTATGCTAGTCTTATTGAAAAAGTAAAGAGTGTGATTATTATCTAGTACTTGGTGTTTAATATAAATCTTAATTAAGTAGTTACCCTTAATGTGTTCGAGCAAGGCTGGCTCAGAGGATCTATTTCTACTGCTGTAGTGTTATTTATTTATGGAAGATACATTTGGGTTTTGAATCTTTTGATTAAAGTTGAAGTATTATGTATTGAACCTTTTTACTTGCTATTGAAATGAAGGGAGTTGTTGGGCATTCTCCACAATTGCTGCTGTGGAGGGAATTAACCAGATTGTTACTGGGGATCTGTTGTCGTTGTCTGAGCAAGAACTTGTAGATTGTGATACCACTTACAATTCTGGATGTGATGGTGGACTTATGGACTACGCATTTGAATTCATTATTAACAATGGTGGAATTGATACTGATGAGGATTATCCCTACAAAGGAACAGACGGCAAATGTGATCAGTACAGGGTATGTACTGTTATATTTTGCATTGAATTAGGAACATTGAGGACACCTTCCATGTATCTGATACTAGATTGTCACACATATTGACCTACTCTCTTTTTTCTTCCCTTCTTGCAGAAGAATGCCAAGGTTGTTACAATTGATGGGTATGAAGATGTCCCTGAAAATGATGAAAAGGCATTGCAGAAGGCAGTTGCTCACCAACCCGTTAGTGTTGCCATTGAAGCTGGTGGCAGTTCCTTCCAGTTCTATCAGTCGGTATGCATTTCCCCTTGTTATCCCTTTTTTTTCCTTGGAAGAAAACCGATTTTTTATTGTTCTGCTCCTGAAGAAATGTGAATGACCAATGTTTAAATCAAATGCAGGGTGTTTTTACCGGAAGATGTGGAGCAGATTTGGATCATGGTGTTGTGGCAGTTGGTTATGGCTCTGAAAACGGAAAGGACTACTGGATCGTGAGGAATTCATGGGGTGCTGATTGGGGAGAGGGCGGATACATAAGGATGGAGAGGAATGTGGAGCACTTGAAAACTGGTAAATGTGGTATTGCTGTGGAGCCATCATACCCAGTCAAGACCAGCGAGAACCCTCCTAACCCAGGTCCTACTCCTCCATCTCCCCCTTCTCCTCCTTCAGAGGATGTAACTTGTGATACTTACTACTCATGCCCTTCTGCAACCACCTGCTGCTGTGTCTACGAATATGGCCCTTATTGCTTCGCTTGGGGTTGCTGCCCATTGGAGGCTGCTGTGTGCTGTGCTGACCACTCTAGCTGCTGCCCTCATGACTATCCCGTCTGCAACGCTAGGCAGGGTACTTGCAATGTGGTAAGCACACTTTTATAACTACTTTCATACTTGTATTATTTAGTAATCATTACCCCATCTGTCTTGTTATTGTTAAAGCTATAGAGCTGATATATTTTTCTTTTGCCTAACAGAGCAAGAACAGCCCATTGAGCGTTAAAGCAATGAAGCGTACTCCTGCAAAGCTCCACGCAAAGTTCGGCATTTTTTAAGCACTTGACATTGCAAGCTTGCAACTGCGAAGGATTTCTGAACCTGGCAACTGCAGAATACGGAAGAATTAGGGTTGCTTAGGTTGCATTCAGGAATACCATTGTTGACCATGCATTGTTTCTTTCAGCATGGTGGTTTTGTAAATACGAAGTATTATTTAAAAAATTGTACTAATGCTCTTTAATGGCAACGAAGTTACTACTATGTCAAGACATGACACAATGCACATTGGCTTTAAGGAATCATTGGTTATGTAAATAGTTTATGCTACCTTTACTTCATTATGGCTGCTTATTTAATCTCTGCATTCTTATTTAATCTCTGCATTCTCATATGCATGTCTGACAAATTAAATTGTGGTTTAGGATTAGAACTGCTGAAATACTTTTGGTGTATCTTATGCATGCAAGTGGTTGATCATGGTACGATTGTGATTTGGGTGGAGCTACAAGTGAGTAAAGTAGCAGAGTACTCGTAGTTGTATTGTGTACATGATACAATTGGGATCTATTTGATCATGTATGAGTAGAGGTTTGGATTGTTGGTGCATGTACAGGTTATATGTAGTGGTTAGAACTTTTCTCTCGATTTCAAGATATTTTGGTATCGATTCTCATTAACTGCCATAATGGCTCTATAAATACCAAAAAAAAACAAACACACATAGATTTGTTCTGAGAACATTATGCACAAGTAAAGAGGCATTTAGAAGTTGCTAGGATATGTAAAGAACCATCTCCTCATTGGAAGGTCACAAGATCAAATCCTCCAACATTTAGAAGTGTTGAAATTTAATTTAAAAATTAGAAAAATGATAAACATAGCCCATATAAGAAGCTGTAAAAGAAAATATTGAGGATAGATTAACATTAATTACACCGATTTACTCTTGATTTTGTCGTAAATTACCAACTTAATTCTATTTTAGAAAGTATATTTAATGCTTATATAGTTATATATAACCCTTAAGACTACTTATATTAGGGGTCTGTTCATCAGTTCAGTTCTGCTCAGTTCAGTACAGTAAATGTAAACAAACCCTCGTTACCCTAAGAATTAATGAGCTTTAATTTATTACATTGAATAGATAGTATTTTGATTTATTTATGTAAAAAAACAATCTTTTGTATTGATATCAATAAATTATCATTGTAATGAAGAAAGTAGAGCAAAAATCAGCTAGGAACTATCCAAGTCACAAGAATTCATATGAACAAACTTAATTAAGGATGCGTTCTATTCAACTGTTTTTTTTTTTTTTTTTTTTTTTTTTTTTTTTACGCATTTGAACTTATTAGACATTGATCTTTTTAAGTAGTAATTTGTACGTTGGTAACTCTTAGTATTAATTATTTTTTGTCTAAACTTATAAGATCTAAAATAAGGGCATGTTCTTATTGACTGAACTCAGCTGAACTGAACTGAATTGAGCTGAACTGAAATGAAGTGAATATTTCATAAGAGAAGGAAATTAGGAGCTGAACTGAACTGAAGTTCAACGTATGAGAACAGACCTTAAGTGGAAATAAGTTCTTACTGTAAATTGCAATTGATTGCTTGAATCACAACATTCAAGAAAATAGGACATAAGCTAACCAATAAACCCTTAATTATATACTCCAAGGTGTACTTGAAAAATAATGAGGAAAACTTACTTAAAAATGTTCCAAGGTGTATGATTGAATGAATGCACCTAGAAAATTTTAATTATTTTATCAAAATAATTTCATTGGAAATGCATCTTTGTCGATCTCATAAAGACATAACAACGCCATTAAGGCCAGTCTCACCAAAGGGTGTGATACGGTACATCGCAGGCAACTCAATTCCCCAAATAGTCAAATCCATCATAACCGTCTACATATTTTTAGCAAAGATCAAAATTAATCAACGGTTCAGAAACGTCCGACGCACGTGACCTTTTCCACAATCAACTCATTTCTCTCATTCATCATCTCGTGATCACCCAAATATCGAACATACTTTCTCTCTCCTCTCTTAATCGAACTACTCCATTAATCTTCAATTCGTCTGCAAATTACCTTCGAATTTTCTAGGTATTTTGTTAATCTTATTCTTCAACAGATCTGATAAAAATCAAGGATTTTTAATTGAATTTCTTAGGGTTATCTGATTGCAATTACTACAATTATTTTTCATCATTGCAATTTTCGTATCTATTTGATTTCCTCTTTATCGTCGTCATAAATCTTATCGAATCAAGTTTTATAGCTTACATGTTGTGTTAATTATTGTTCTGTTAATTTGAGAAATGTTCAATTCTTTTTGCTTTTTATTTTGAGCTAAGTTTTTAAATTTGAAAATAGGTTTTGCTGATTGTATGCATATTTTTTTTGATTTTATTAGAATGAAATGTTGATTCAATTTTGTTGATATGATGAAATGAATAAGATAAGAACGAGTGATTGGATTGAGTTCTAATTATGGAGAGTATTAATTATAATATGAACATAGTTTTAAGTGGGAGGTTTAGGGTGGAAAAGGTTTCTATAATTGTTATTGTAATGATGATGAATAAGTTTACTTTGTTAGTTAAATTTACTTAATTTAGTAGGTGAGAGGAAGACGTTTCTGACTAGTTAGGTGTTATTTGATCACAGTTTCATTGCAGTAGTGTTTGGTGTTGTTGGATGCTGAATCCGAAATGAGTGGTGTCGAAACTGATGTTGGGTCTGTGGCTTCGTCAACCGCACCTCCTGTTGGAGCTGCAGTTGTACAGCCTACTCCTCCCGGGGATGCCGCTGTGAGTAATGCAGCGAGTGATGATGCGTCATCCAAGCAACCGGTCTCGGGGATAGCATCATGGGCGCAAAACTTGAAAATTCCGCTGTCATCAGCAGGAGGACAGGTTGAGTTGCCTGCTGAGAACTCTCCAAAGTCAGCCTTTGCTCGGTTTACCAGTGGAATAACGGCTCGATTGTCCCCAAGAGATGCTGCTTCTGCTCCTGAAGATGCCTCTGATGTAGGATCTTCTCAGTCAAATTTTATTGGAAATTTCACCAAAGGATTGGTTGACACATCGAAAAATGCAGTAAGGGCGGTATCAGTCAAGGCTCGGCATGTTGTTTCTCAAAACAAACGAAGATATCAGGTGACTTTACCTCATTTTAGAGTTTTATCTCTTTGCATTGCTTCGAATCATGAGTTTCTCTATGAACCAAAATATTAGATTTATTAAACAGTAAATTTTTTTTGCATTTGCTCGCTTAATCAATGTCTTGCAGCAGCAATAAATTGATGATGTGACTTAATTACAATTCCTGTATTGGTAAATTTAATAAAAGATTATGAAATCATTCTAATAGTTACTTGTGATCGATTATTTATCAGAGAAACCTGATGTTCTGTATCCCCCTGTTCCATGAGATCAAATAAGATGTCATCTCAACCATAATATAGGCTATATTTTTCTCTGCGCGTGTGTGGGGTGAAAGCGGGGATGGGGAAGAAAGAATATGATGATTTATCTTTTAAGTATAATTGCTTGTATGTGCTTCTGATTTTGTTAGTGTTTTGCAGGAAGATGGATATGATTTGGATATGACTTATATCACTGAGAACATTATTGCTATGGGATTCCCAGCCGGTGATATGAGTTCAGGCTTTTTTGGCTATGTAGAGGTATTTGACTTTACGACACCGCATCTTCCATGTACTTTTTTCTGTGTATTCACCAACCTTTTTTTTTTTTTTTTTTTCCCTTCTAAATACAGTATTGAAAAATGTGATGCAGGGTTTGTACCGTAATCATATGGAAGAAGTGATAAGTTTCTTAGATAGCCATCATAAGGTAATTGGATAATTTTTGTCATGTCTTCCCTGAGGCAGTGTTGTGTGGTTCTATTTATCTATCAGGCCTTTATTTATAATATGTTGCTGCTTAATTGCTTATATTATCACTTCTGCATGTGGTCTATATCATGGCCTTTTATTAAATGCACTTGTCTAATATATAATGTACTGGTATATCAGATGTGCTGAAATCCAATACTGTGGTCTAGGGAGTTCTATAGAATTGTACTGCATGATTACGTGTGTCATAAATGCAGAACCATTATTTGATCTGTTAATTTAGGGAGTGAATATTTACTGGATCAATTTTGGGGATTGCCACTTCGCAAATTTCAAAAATTAAATGTATGTGTTTGTATTTCTTCTTTAAGACTTAACAAGTTATTAATTGCTTTTTGATTACACCAGAAATAGTCGTCCTTTGGAAATTAAAAAAGGATGTAGAGTTTACAAAAACCGGAAATCCACAAAAGTTCTGCCGTCAACAAAATGGAGGAGTTTTTTTTCTTTACCTATTTTCCTCAGGTAACTGGGATTAACCTCAAGAAGCTTATTTTTTTAAAGTCAACCAAATAGTTTTTTGATATATTCCAGTCTTCCACTTCTTGGCTGTTGCAGTTGCTTCGTATAACCAAACAACTTAGTACTTTGATGTGGAACTCTTTTTCATGGGGTAAGATAGGCTTGTAGTCTGACCATTGATTTTTCATAATTAAACACCTTAGCCTCTTAGCGTTTTATCCAGAACCCTCGTGAAATAGTGAAAGACTCATTTTCTTGGACTACTCTTTTTTTCCTCCCTATCCTATGTTATTGGTATTATAATCCATTGTGATTTTTTAGGGATGGGTATATCCCGTGGCGGAGCCACCCTTGTGCACGGTAGGTCACGTGACCTAGCACAAAAACAGAGAAGGTTTAAATATTAAATATTGCAACTAGTAATGATATGTACTCCGTAGTCCAATGGTGGAGGCTTCATATTTTTAGACTTAAGTTACTGGTTCGACTCCTAGGGGAAGCTACTTTCCTTCCTTTTTTCTTGCATTAAGAAGATGTAATATATAAACATTTAACAATGCAATTATACAAGTAAGTGCTTAGTGTTGTAATGGTGGGAGGCATTGTAAATTTTGCCAAAGGTTATGGGTATGACTCCTAAGGACAACGTTTTTTTTTTTTTTTTTTTTTTTTTTTCCTTTTTACATATATCTACCACTACCTACTTAGTTCTCAAACTGGTACATTGTTAAAGTCATTGTTCGAAAATTTTTTGGTAGTTTCATTACTGACGTCATTATCCTTCTCCTTCCCCGTAACATTTAATATTTTTGGAATGTCTTTTTTTAGAAATTTTTTTGGTAGTTTCATTAGTGACTTGTCATTATCCTTCTCCTTCCCCGTAACATTTAATATTTTTGGAATGTCTTTTTTTAGAAATTTTTTTGGTAGTTTCATTAGTGACTTGTCATTATCCTTCTCCTTCCCCATAACATTTAATATTTTTGGAATGTCTTTTTTTAATTAACTTTTATAATATTAATGCATTAATTATGATTGGTATGCGGTCGATGGGTAACGGTGACCTAGCACCCGTAAAATCCTGGATCCGCCACTGGGTATATCTGTTTTCTTGGAAACTTGGAACCTCCAAATCTACTGTAAATGAGATTAGAAACTTGTATAAAGTGGTCACCATAGTTCTTGGCATGTAGAATCAAGGGGTAAAGCTCAAGATTTTAAATGGTCTTTTGTGTTTCTGTGAAATCCTAAATCTTGTTATCTGACGAATGTTGAATTGACCTTTTACTTTGCAGGATAAGTACAAAGTTTACAATCTTTGTTCTGAGAGATTGTATGATGCCTCTCTTTTTGAAGGAAAGGTATGCTGTTATAAGCCTATTCATGTTTATTCTTCATTTTTGTCATTTTGAATACCCTTTTTTCTCAATAAAAAAGCATCTATTAGCTTAATGTAATAGCTTTTTACTTTGTACTATTGATTCAGATTGTGGTTTATGAATTTCTCCTGGCTTTTCTTGAGCTATATTTCTTTAAGTTTCTTTGAATTAATCACTTTACTGGAAGTTCCAGCTTATTGTGCGTGTCATTATTTTCCTTTTCTTCTCATTGATGCTGTATGAAGTAATTCAAAAGAGAAGGAATGTTTATTGGGGCCCAACTTAAGAATTATTACTAACAGCAGCTTAGTTGGGCTCTTCCTGCTTTATAATTTTTCTGGTGTTTGATAGGGTTTCAGAATTATGTACTAGAACTTATAGTGTAATATTGATTTGACGTTCTGGACTCACTATCTGCTTGTTTAAATTGATTTTGGCTGTACATGTTCCGTTAACACACTTTCTAGGTTCTAAATCTTACAAAAATTGATGATTAATATTTACAGTAAATGCTCTTTGCTTTGTAAAGTTGAATAAAGTATGAGAGTGTTTCATGCTGCTGACACAGTCACATTAATTGTTTTCTACTGTGCATTTTCTCACTTTTCTGAATATATTGAGTTTTGTTATGGACAGGTTGCTAGTTGCCCATTTGATGACCACAATTGCCCACCAATCCAACTCATTAAATCGTTTTGTCAAAGTGCTTACTCTTGGTTGAAGGAGGACATTGAGAATGTTGTGGTTGTGCATTGTAAGGCAGGAATGGCTCGGACTGGTTTAATGATTTGCAGTCTTCTTGTGTACTTGAAGGTGACACTTGATAAACCTCTGGGACTCATTAAGTGTCCAACCAGTTTTGCTCCATTGCCCTGAACTTCTGATTTTTATTTGTAGATTACAAGACTAACCAATCTCTGTTTAACCTCTACAGTTTTTCCCAACTGCTGAGGAGTCAATTGATTACTATAATCAAAAAAGATGTTTTGACGGAAAGGCTCTTGTTCTGCCAAGTCAGATTGTCAGTTCTTACTCAATCAACTTATGCTCCTCTTGCCAACTTGTCTTGTCTTGTAGCATTTTGTAATTTATTTTCCATAAATATTTTACAGAGGTATGTCAAGTATTTTGAACGAACATTAACATATTTCAATGGGGAGATTCAGCCTGGGCGTAGGTATGACACTTTGTATTCGATGTTTGTCAATAATTTCTAAATTGTTTCTTTTTACTAAATTTGGTATATATCCTACTTCCAGGTGCATGCTTAGGGGGTTTCGACTTCACAGGTGTCCTTATTGGATCAGACCCCATGTAACTGTCTCAGACCACAATGGTATGGTGCATGTGTTTTTTTATCTTGAATAATATGCTCTGAATGTAAATAATCTGCAAGTCTACAATTAAATTATCTACTATCTGCATTGTACTTTAATTTTATGATAACAACTGACATCTTGTGAAAACAGCTAGAGAGTATTATCAAAAGAATATTTTTATGGGGTCACATTTAGTTTTCCTTGTTATTGAGTGGTCAAAATTTTGCATTTGGTGCAATTGAATATTAATGTGAACATGTGCAGCTAGTGCCAAGATGACGATTAAATGACATAACTTCCCTACTCGCACAAATGGTGAAAGCCATGTTGGTTATGGGGACTTGTGGTCATTGTTTTTGTTGTTGAGCTTTTCTCCAATATTCAACAAAATGATATTCTTATATTTTTGAAGTGGCAGATAACTCTAGATTATTTGGATCTTTCAGTAGATTTCTTAAAATAATAAAATGTGTTACCTTTTCACTTTGCAAAACATTTTGAATTGTAGAGCAATATCTTAGATTGCCTTGTTACAGAGTACATTTTATTCCTATCTTTTACAAAATATTACAATGTATACACACTTTTGAGGCCTGATCCTTGACTGTGGTTTGAATCATCACTATTTTGAGTGTTTGAAATTCTTCCTCTGTGTGAATTCTAGAGTGATTCTTGTACGTAACCCCCCCCCCCCCTCTCTCTCCCCTCCTTGGAAACTTACATAATAGTTTATTATTAATTGTTCTACATTACTGGGGACAGGTGTTCTTTTTTCTACGAAGAAACATCCAAGAACGAAGGATCTGTCGGTAAGTTGCTTGATAAGTTTATATCATTAGAATTGACACTGAAATATGTCCATGTCATTTGACATTGGATTTGAGCTGGAATTTTATTAACTCATACCATTTTCTTGGCAGACAGAAGATTTCTGGTTTACTGCCCCAAAGAAAGGAATTATGGTGTTTGCTTTGCCAGGAGAGCCTGGATTAACAGAGTTGTGTGGTGACTTTAAAGTCCTCTTTCATGATCGACAAGGAGATTTCTATTTGTACGGAACCTTACTATGTCTAAACCCTTATATTATGTGCTCTTTATCGGTGCCATTGTTTATAATTTATGTGTGTCTGACAGTTGGCTAAACACGACAATGATAGAAAATAGGAAGATCTTAAACACCAGTGATATGGATGGATTTGACAAGGTAAGCACCAACCTTTCAGAGGTGGTTTAATTTACTTGTAAGCACCACATTTTTATTGAACACTTATTCGAAAAGTCTCTGTTTGCGAATTACCTGGATTTCTTAGTTATTGTTTTTTGTTTTCAGTTTTCAGTAATTTTAAAAACTTTAAAAATATGATATCTATAAAAGTAGTTTCTATTTTATTGTTGTTAGTTTTCGAATTTAACATTTTACAGAGTAATAGAATTGATAGAAGTGTAGCTAATCTGAAGTTCTTTATGCAACTGATATCATATGACTTGGAAATTCTCAAAATCAATACTTTTAGTGGTACCGATTGGTCCTTTAGCTGACAAATTATATCCTTTTTTAAATGCTGATTTTGTATGTATTTTTTGAACTTGTACAGCGGAAGCTGCCTTCCCCTGGTTTCCAAGTTGAGGTTGTTCTTGTAGACTATGATGGCACTCCTCCATCTCCTACACCTCAGCCTGAACCTGTGGTCCAGAAGCCCAATGACCAGACTGGCCCCCCTTCTGAACAAGTAAATGAGGTCTCGTCTGCTACAGAAGCTAGCAAAGATTCTCAAGGTCAAGCTCAGAGTGAACAACAAGACAAAGATGATGTGTTTTCAGATGATGAGGCCGATGGATCAGGCTCATCAAGGAGTAAAAAGGCTCAAGCAGCTTCTTCAGCAGATACAAAAAAGTCAACTGCCCCTCCTGCTGAAACTAAGTCCACTTCAGATCAGAAGGTGGATGGTTTGACACAAAAAGTTGAAAAAGTATCGCTTAGTAAAGGAGGATCGACAGAGGGCCATTCAGTAAAAGAGTCTAAAAGCGAGGCTGTTGGAACTGGAGCTGCCCTCTCAGCCCCCAACTCTGAAGGGGTTAGTGATTTCAAGGCAATGGCAGCCGATGCTTCTGTCTTTTCCTTTGGTGATGATGAAGATTATGAAAGTGACTGAGCTACAGGGGTTTGTTGCCTGATTTCTTCAATTCAGCAATCTGCACATAAAAAATTTCCATACCATAGCAAAAGCACTTCTTTGTTAAGGAAGATCCTGCCCTATTCATTTTATGTTCATGTTACTTTGGAATGTCAATTTGTTTTTGTGGCTCATCCATTGTGAACTGTGGATAAAAATTTGTGTTGTAGTTTGTACTTTTTTTTATTTTTTCTTTTCCGGATGTTCGTTTGTAATCTCTGGCTTTGTACACAATGATTTTTATTTTGGTACAAATCAAACAATTTTTTAAAGACATCGAAGAATGAGTGGTGAATAACTACTGTAATACTGTATAATATATTATTGCATCAGCAAAACGAAGTCAAAATCAGTAGCAAATAACAGTCAAAGTGAAACATACTTCCACTAATTCCATAGTACTTAACTAAGTTTATTGTACTAGACATGTCACATTAACTATGATTATAATGTTTTGTTTTTGATCCTCTACTGTACTTGGTACTTCTTATGAAAATTTCTGCAACCTCCCTGTTGTGCATAGCTAGTCAGATTTTGAACAGCCAAAATGTTTGTGACATCTCAGTCGGAGTTGTAACCTGCACCCAAAAAAAAAAAAAACAAAAAACAAAAAACAAAAACCTTACCCATTGTAAAGCTGACAATAAAATTGGTTACTTGATCTGAATTACGCAACCAAAATCAGAGTTTCCCAAATAGACAAATTAAGAAATACGAAGACTTATTCCCTAAGAATAAGAAAGACTATCTCTGTAACCGAATAAATAGCGTAGTGTTCACACCATGCGGGATTTATAAATCAAATTATTAATTTTTTTTTTTTTACAAAAGCATTAAAACCCAAAGATAGTTCAATTAGCAATAAATAAAACTATAAAAGGTTTAACAAATTATGTGATTATTAAAATGTTCAAGTGTCTAACGATTTCACTTGTCAATATTTGCTTGTCTCATACTTCGTAGTTCGTAGTATAATGCGAAGTATATTCATTAGATAAATTTGAAGAGGTGAATTCGTTGAATGCAATATATGTAGAAATATAAAAACACTGTAAACAACAGACCAAATTACTTGAATTATACAGTATTTGGAAAGGGCTTAATCTTAGAACATAATAATAATGTAAAGGGAAACATACATGATCCTTGTGAAGACAAAGTTGTTGGCACTGGTTAGCTATTTGGGCAATTTTAAGCCACTCTCCCCTTTCATTGGCGGCATTGCATCTTGAGAAGGCAGATTCCTCAACTTTGGCATGCGATAAAGCGACAACTCTCTTAGAGATGTCAAGTTCGCGATCCAGTCAGGCAGCGTTTCCAAAACATTCTGTAATGTTAACATTTCAAGCGAATTGCAAACAGGAGGAGTATCTTCGCCCAACTGTGCAACTAGTTGTAATTCATCAGTGTGTAGTTCCTTTAAACAAGGAAGACTGCCTGATGACCCTATTATTACTACTTGGTTATTGATCATAGTCAAAGAACGAATCTGGTTCGAAAACCAAACATCTCCAACTTTATAACAACCATCTAACACCACTTCTTGGAGCGATTTGCAACACTGGAACCCTGTAATTTTAAGAATTGAAGAGACCTCAACTCGTTCAATTTCAGATCTCCATGGCCTTCGGAACAACTAATAGACAGGGAGATGAGGTTGGAAAGTGAGGAACAACCTCCTCCTTCGACCAACCATCTCGGAAATCTAGTTCCGTTGTATCTAAAAATCTCAAGCATTTTCAAGTTAGAATTTCATTTGTATGAGGGTTTTCTTTCATAACTGGAGGATAGCTAGAATCCCATTTGAGACTTAAACTATCAAGATATGACTTGTTGCCAACAAGTAAGCCGCGAGCTTCTTCTTCAACACTTAACAAATGTAAGTTTTGGATTTCCAATGTACCCCTGAGATTTGTCAACAAACCAACATCACTTAATCTTCCACCCCAATTCCTTTCTAAATTGATAGTCGGCAAAGTTTGTAGAGCAGTCAAATGACCCAAACCCACAGGTATGCCAATGTCGTCGTCATCGAGGATATGCCTTAAGTTTACAAGATTACCTATTTCTCTTGGATAACAAATCTTGTACGGGTCCATCACTCGGTAAAGTACTACATTACTTATGGATCGGAGATTCAAACACTCAACCTCTTATAAGAAGGATCAATGATTATTTAACTATGTAAGCCAATTATCAACCATGACCGAATGACTCCTGACCGACCAAGTAACCCCTGAATAAGTTCCCCGGCCACACAGTTTGGCCAGCCACATGCATATGAAGCTTTGTGGCGCTTTTTCAGTGTAGATGGCAACATTAGGTGGCCGACTGATACACACCAAAATACTAAGCTCGTAATCCTCAACCGACCGAATAAACTCGGGCATACATTGTAGCCAACCAAACAGCCACATATGAATTTGTGAAAAATGTAGGAATCGATCGAACAACTGATAGGAATATTTTTTACCTTTGCCCGATTCGCCACCTCTCTCTCCTTCGTAGCCCAAACCCGCCTACTTCTTCCTCCTTCTCATCCTAGACTTTTCAACCTCTCTCTTTTGCTTAGCCTAAACCTGACCACCAGTCCACCACCCAGACCTAACCATCAGGCTACCGCCCTTTCTCTACTAGTTGGGTGAGATCGTGACGGTGTTGGGATTCACGAGAGTAGGGGTTCACAAGAATTTTTTTATTAAAATATTTTTTTAAAAAAATAAGAAAATTGTACTTCCTTTTTTTTTTTTTTTAGTTGAAACCTTTTTCTTTTCACGCTTGCCAACGCTTGTTTTTAACGATAAATATCTCTTATTATCAACATTGTAAAATTATAAAAAATGAATATTAATAAAATATATATTGAAACGATTCAAACAAGATCCCACATAAATATGTTTTATCGTATCTATAAACCACAAAAACAAGTCAAAGCGTGTTGTGTGAATAGTGTAAAAGTCAAACGGTGTCAACTAAAAAAAACGAAGGAAGTATTACGTAGTAAAAAAAATTAACCAATTTACAAAGTGACACATGTCATGTGTCATTCTAACCCATTAAACAGGTTACCAATCGATTTTGCCCTATTTATGAAAAATCATGTACAAAGGTCGCTTGATTAGAGGATTATCAAAAGATGATTTTATTTATGCCATAATGATTAACGAATAAAGATCATTATATTATATTCATGTCAATTTTTTCAAAACTTTGTGGAGGGAATTCTTAATTAAATGTTACACTTTTTTAATACACTTTTTTTTAAAGCAACCTACCACATTTTATTCTGTAATTAGGTTAGGTTCTGTGCCATACACGGTAATTTTCAATAACTATATTTAAAATTAACATTGTATACTTTCGTATGTTACATACATTCATATCAATTGAATCCTAAAAAACAACAAAAATGGCAAGAAAAAGTCACACTACTAATCAACGACATGTGTGATCTTTAGCAAGTATTATTGAAGTTTTCATGGAGTGCTAATTGATTGAAATTATAATCATAAATTATTCAAGTAAATAACAAAAGTATCATTTGTTGATTTGATATTCGCATTTCATTGTTTAAGCTTGTAGCTTCTTTACATAATTTAAAAAATCAATAAAAAAATTATATTTCTTAAAAAAAATAGTCAATAACAAATGATGTTAAGAATATTATTTTCCATATTTTTTTGCTTAATTTTATAGTTGTCAATATATTTATTTTGGAAAGATACATCAAATCTTCAATTATATTTTCTATGTAATTATTACCTTATAATACTATGTAAAAAGATTTATTTTTGAAATTAATTTTTTTTTCCAAAAAAAAATAAAAAAATACTAAGGAAATAGAGATGACACGTGTCATTGATGGTGTGTCTTATATTAAAATATTAGATAAAATTCTTAATCGATAATAATTTGTATTTAATTAATTTAAACTTTAAAATATCATTCATTAATTTTGCTTACGTAGCATTTGGATTATTTAATTGTAAAGGAAATTAATAATCTCTTATTTAATTGGATACAAAAATTTATAATCGTATATAACGCGATAAGAAAATTAAATTTTAGGTGACTCTTTATAAACTCGAGAAAAAACTTATTCCAAAAAAAAAAAAAAAAATACTCGAGAAAAAAGTCTCTCCCTTTATTAGATTAGATTTAGTATTTACCCTTGATTTCTTGAATTTACTCCCTCGGTCTTTAGGTTTATTTTCTCATTTTAAATGCCCTTGAATTTATACAGTTTGACTAACCCCTCTCTGTTCATCTCTTCTCCGGCGAGTCGGCGATCGGCGTACAGTTTGAAGCAGAAACTCCGGTTAGCAGCAAGCGCACTTCATCTCCATTTTGTGCGGTAAACCCGCTTTCCTCTCTTTTAATTTGATTTATGTTTTTGGGTTCATCTGAAATTTGAAACATTTGAGGAAATAACAAATATAACCATTGCCACTCAACAAGACAAACCAGACAATTTATTATACAATCTACAAAATAAAGTAATAGGATGGCAAAAATGGTGTAAGCGGGTTACCTTTTTGTATTAAGATAATTGACTCAAATTTTGTTGATAATGTGTTGTAAAACCCTTGAATTTTTTACATTGTTTTTGCAATTGTTGTTTATAGAAATTTAAGTTAACTAATTTTTGTTGGACCATAGTTTAATATCAAATTTATTTATTTAACCTTGGCTTTCATTTTAGCTGCTTATCTTATTTTCTCGTTAATTTTTTAATTTTGATGTCTGAATTACTTAATTATATTAAAAAAAATTGGTTCAGCTGAATAATCCATGGCAAACAGCAAATATGAGTATGTTAAGTCCTTTGAAGTTCAAGACAAAATTATGCTGCCCACTCTGATTGTTGTTGTCATTGATGGCCAGAATTTTCGTAGGTGAGTCTTTTTATTTTTTGCTTTAAAGATGGTCTTCCTAGATGATCTTGTATCATGATTATAATAGCCGCTTATTCGAGTATATATCCTCGTTTGCTTGATTATTATAGCCACTTATTTATCAGCTTATTAAATAACTTGGCATTGCCAATAATCATTTTACCAAGATTCACACTCATTCCATTGTTAGAGTTCAACTGGATTATTCACACAACATTAGGGGTGTTGTTGATTAAACAGATTCAATTCATTATTCTTACAAATAATCAAAGTAGCAAAACATGAATATTAAATTGAGATATCAACAACAACAACCAATACAAAGAAGCAAGTGTTAAAGAATCCATGTGATGTAAACATAAATAAAAAAATCAATACTCCGTACATCCTCAAATTATTGTTAAGTACACTATTTTGGTCAATTTTCTAATAATTGTAAATAAGTGTTAAAAGTACAAAATTTTTCTTTGTTTGGGTTTTTTTTTGTTGATTATATCAATTTTAAACTCATGCTTTGCTACTTTGATTATTGTTAAGAATAATGAGTTGAATCTGATTAATGGGTAGAAGTTTATATACCGGAGGACTTGCTTCTATTTAGAGTTTGGACAACTCTTTTTCTTGGTTCTTCGCTAAAATCAAGTTGATAAATTTTCTTGAGTGGTTGAAACGGTATTAATTGTCACAATATGAAAGTTATTTTCATACTGTATATGATGAAGTGTTGAAGGCTTGTTTTCTTAACTACCCTACTAAACCTTTTTTTTCCCCCTTGTTTTGCATGGTTGTCTCCTGTACTGCTAACTAAGTTTCTCTTACCTGGTTGAACTTGATATGTCAGGTTCTCTGAAGTTCATAAATTTGAGAAGCCTCGTGATAGAAAAGCCTTGGACTTGATGATTTCATGCGCTGCTGCTGTAATGGAGGAATACGCTGACATAATATTTTCGTATGGATATAGTGATGAATTTAGGTACCTGTAACTCTCAGTTACTACTTACTTGCTATAAATTGAATTGTTGAATTTGATGTTTATCAACTGGTTGTTGCTGTTGCCCTTTGCAGTTTTATATTGAAAAAGGAGTCCAAATTTTACCAGAGACGTGGAAGGTTTGTGGTTGAATCTACATTCAGATGTTAGTGCCTGGGTTCACAAATTTCCATGCTGACATACATGTTATTAGTTGCTGTTTGGACATGATTTTCATATTCTTTTTTATTTTTCAGTAGAAAATTCTTAAAATCTTCAAACATCTCTTTTGCAGTAAGATATTGTCCCTACTTGTGTCATTCTTCACTTCTGTGTATACCATAAAATGGAAAGACTTCTTTCCACATCAGAAATTGCTCTATGCACCTTCGTTTCATGCACAAATCATTCAATGTCCAACTTTGGAGGTTCTTCAAACTTATCTTGCATGGAGGCAGAATGATTGTAAGTAATTTACCTCATGACTATTTGCTTTGAAGCTCTGATGTTTCCATTATGAAGCTATAAATACTGTTATTATATGGGGTGCTGTTACCGCAATGTATGATTTCACTTTGTTTCGTAGGTCACCTCAACAATTTATATGATACGTGTTATTGGAAGCTCTTTGAAAGAGAAAAGAGTGAAACTAAAGCCCATGGACGTCTCAAGGTGCTTCCAAATTAATTCTTGTATGCATATGGTGTCTTTATGTTAAAGGATATAACAGACGTGTGAATTTAATGGATGCTTGGTGCATTTGTCGCATATAGTAAAAACGTTTAGAGTTTAGTATTTTACTATATATCCATTCTGTTTGATTTATCCTTAGTAGTGTTATTGATCACCTATGATACTCGTAAAGTTGTAATTTCTTTTGTGGGTTAAGAATTTGAGGATGTAGATATTCAATCTCCGGTCTACTGCAAGCAATGTCAGTAGCACAATGCCCCGATCTATATTGGTCATGGTAATAAGGTGTTGCATTTATTTGGGAATCTTTATTAAATAAAGGCGTATTTTTTATGGTTACTTGTATTACTTGAATTCTGGCAAGCTAAGCCAAAGAATTCTGTAATGAGATCATAGAGATGAAACCTTACAACTTATTAATCTTCACTGTTGATAGAAATTACGGCATGCTGTAGTGCAGAAGTTATTAACTGTTGCTTTACTTTATCACTTGATACTCATATGTTACAATTATCTTCGCCTCGTATGTATATCTGTTTGCCAAATATTAAATTTATTGGCTTTCTGATAATCGGAATGATAATGAGGGTGACGACTAATTTTTTCTAGATTCATAATCTATCTCTTGCTTTCATTGTCAGAGACTTAGAGCTATATGGGAGGTTGATAGTTTTCAGATTGGTAGATTTGTGTGTGTTGCATAGTAGTCATTGCATATATTCTTTTCCGATCACTCTTTTTGTTGATGTATATGTTCATGTTGTGTCATATCTGTAAATACAGGGAACACAAAAACGGGAAAAAAATGAGCTTCTCTTCCAGGAATTTTGCTTTAACTATAAGACTCTTCATCTAATGTTACGACAAGGAACTTGTCTTTTTAAGACTCAGGTGCACATTTGCTACTGTTTTTTGGATTATTCCCCCCCCCCCTTTTCTTCAATAAAGTTATATTCTTTTGCATTGATATGAATTTCAAAATCCATCAAGCTTTGGTCAATTGGCATTTTCTAATTGACTAATTCTTAACTCATCTTATTGAAATAGCATCGCGTGAGTCAGTGAGTGGGCCCAAAACATTGTATTTGTGCAAGTTTGTCATGTGGGTATATGAGCAACTTCTAACCGCTCTATTGGAACTTTTTGTTTGACTTAGGGTAGATAAACACAGATGGAGGAGTCTCATTTATCCTTTTCTTCTTTTAAAAAATGGTTGTATAAGCCCCTTTTAAGTTCTAGCTTTTGGTGATATGAACTTTTTTCCCGGGTGGGGGGTGATTATATGGAGCTTTATGTTGTCAGAAATAAGAGTGAGTGGTGTTAATGGTAGTGGCAACTGGCAAATTAACTAAGCCCAAATAAACCCTAAAGGACTCTTTGTTACTGTTATAATTGTGGGGAAATAATTTAATTTTTTATCCACTGTGGAAGAATTTACTTGTGTCAACACTCATTGGCATGATGGCATCTAACAAAACCAAAACACTGAAATCTAATTAAAGAAAAAAAACTACATATAAGAGGTATTGTTCAAGAGTGCTTAAGTTTTTCCATGTCACAGTTTAAAATTTCACATAGAATGTAAATAGAGTTTTAATTTGATTAAAGATAAGTTCTCTATGGAGTAACAGTTATCCTTCTCAGTCTCCTTGTAAGTGGTTCCAAGTATACCAATTTGTGATTTTTGTCCACTGATATAGATTGAAGAGGTTGTCAAGTACAAGGAAAATGGTGATCCTATCAAGAGACTTCGGAAAAAGATGATGGAAGTTCACTCAGATAATATAGCTGGCAAAAGCTTCTGGAATCAGCACTCTTCTCTTCTTTCAGAACTAGGAAGATTTGAAGTAGATATTCATAAAATTAGACCAGAATATGTAGAGTCCTTTCTATTTCAGGATAAATTGATGTTGTCCACTTGGATAGTGGTCAGAATTGATGGTTGCCATTTCCATAGGTAATTGACTTGTGTGATGAAGATTTTATTTTCCCTCAATATGAACGTAAGACTGCGAATTAAATGATTGTTGTTGTACTTGTGATGTATTGTCTCATCATAATCAGTATGGGCTAATGCTTCGATGCACACATGATTTTATCTTCTTGCTGACGAATCAGTTTATGTATCTCAATTTTACTGGTGCATGGTGAATTTAGCCTGTTGTTTGGTTCAAAGCTGAGATGCTGAAAATGAATTTTGCAACTGAATTTGTTTGGCTTTTGTTAGGTTCTCTGATATTCATAAATTTGAGAAGCCCAATGATGAAAAAGCTTTGAAGCTTATGAATGCATGTGCTGCAGCTCTTTTGGAAGAGTTTCAAGACATAACCTTTGCATATGGTGTCAGTGATGAGTTCAGGTAATTTGGTTGTTGATTTCTTGCTACCAACAGTTCTATAATTGCTTGAAGTCGAAAAATTCTAATTGCTTTTGTTGATGAACAACTTGCAGTTTTGTTGTGAAAAAGGAATCCAAATTTTATGAACGGCAACCCAGGTATGTCTTTGTCTAGCCCTAGGCTTCTTATCTGGCGGGCCTTGGTGTAAATTTAGTTAAATAATGAAAACATAGGAATTCTGTAAGTTTTTTTTTTTTTTGTTTAATATATATATATATATAATTAATCTAATCTCTTTTATCTGTACAGTGCAATAGTGTCCACAATGGTATCATTCTTTTCAACAATGTACATCAGTAAATGGAACGAGTTTTTCCCAGAAACAGAGTTGAATTATCCCCCCTCATTTGATGGAAGAGCTGTTTGCTACCCATCGTCTAAGATTCTTCGAGACTATTTGTCTTGGAGACAAGTTGATTGTAAGTATCATCACTTTTTATTTGTCCTGTATGTGTTATGCGTGTAGATCTACTTCACTTCAAAAGTAATCAATTGGAATTAAATTTTACTCTTTTTTCGGGTCAGTTATCATGGTATTCATGGAATATGTTGAATTTAGTTTGGACTACTTATCTTTGCAAATTCAGGTCATATAAACAACCAGTATAATACCTGTTTCTGGATGCTGGTAGACTCTGTGAAAAGCAAGCGTGAAGCCCAAAATTATTTGAAGGTACATCGTTTGTTCTTTACTAGAACTGGCAGCTTTTTGCATATTCTGAATGTGATAAGAATGTTGATTTCTTTTGGCTTAATTCTTTTGGAGTAATTATTATCTTGTGATATGCAGGGAACACAAACACAAGAAAAGAATGACTTGCTTGCTCGAAATGGTATTGATTATAATGCATTACCAGATATATTTCGTCGAGGTTCAAGTATTTTTCGGGACAAGGTATGGCTCTCCCTCTCTTTTGTTGTCTGCCTTGAGTGATGTAAGTTGCAACTTTTCTCTTTTCTTTGATTTTTTCAATCTTGCACATTTTCTTCTTTAGCACCTTGTCTGAAATTATAGATCGAGTCTGATCATTGGATATGCGTGAATAAGTCATTTAAGCTACCAAACAAGATTTACCCCTGGATAATGTTCTCTAAGGCAACTGTTTCTATTGTGTAGGAAAACAAGACTCTTATGGAGGTAAATTGTGCTGAAGATTCTAGAAAGAAAATTGTGATTGAACACTGTAACATAATCGATGACGATTTCTGGGATTCACACCCATGGATCCTTGGTGACAAACTCCCTTTGGAGAGTGCTAATACTAGAGCCATGAAGAGGACAATTGGATGATCTGTAAATTAGCAGATTAGATGTATTTTGAATCATGTAACAATGCCCGTTTTCTAATACTATGTAATACGGAGTACCATTTAGGAAACAATTGAGTTTAAAAATGTAAAATATATGTAGGCATGCATTAAAAGTTATGGAGTAGTTTAAAAGTTATTGCCCAACATGCTCCAAATAGATAGCTTGATGCAATTTTTGTTTTTGTGCTAATTGCCTAACTTACCAACAATTTCACAATAGATTTTGATTTACTGAAGTGAATAGAGATGAAATGAATTGTTTATGAGTGAAGTCAAATTAGGAACTGAAATGAACTAATTAGAGCTGAGTATATCATAATATTTTCTTTCTTTTTCCACTTTTTTTGAGAATTACTTTGTATAAAATTATGAACAAAAATTGTGGTGAGAAAAACTGAGAATTATAACGACCTAATTTACAATGCTTGCTGCCTCGTACTATACAATGCTTGTTGCCTCGTACTATGTATAGAGTAGATAACGAGGAGTCAAAAACCAACCCAAGCAACAATCGATTTGGATTTCGATTTGTAAAGACATACTTCGTAATAATTTAACACTGACTCGTTTGAAATAGACTCAACCCAATCTTACTAAATCCGACCCAGTCACGCGAATTAACACCTTATTTATAATGGAAGCCCATTCGACACTAGACAAGTATAGAGTACTTGAAAAATATAAAATTAAAAAGAACCTCGTATATTTTTCATCATTGAAGTCTAGTCAAACAAAACTCACAAAACAAAGCCCTTTCTGCATTTCCATGTCGATTGCTGGCGTCCAGGGTCAACTTTTGAAAGTTACAGGTCAATACTCATTTTTAATTAACACAATAACCCTTCAAAATTTTCCGCTTTTTCTAATTTTAATATTACGTTATTTATGTTTCTTTATAATCAAATCAAAATATAATACTTTAATCAAATCAAAGTATTTGTTAGGATGGTTTATTCGTCAAAATTTTGGTCAATTGATATATTTTTCTTGCATTTTTATTGTTTGCAGTTGTTGGATGTAACAAATTGAAAGATACAGAATGGATTTCAAGACAGGATCCTAATGTTTGTCTTGAATATGCTAGCAATAAGTTTCGAACTCGCACTTGCACAGGTTAATTCCTCTCTTTTTGCATAATTTATGATCTGGGTTTTTAATTTTGGTTGAATTTGATTAATGGGTTGTTTAATTGATCTTGAAATTTATCAAAAAATTTGATGTGGGTGTATTTCTTTTTACTGTATAGATGGAGGGAAAAACCCAGTTTTTCAGGAGAAGTTTGTATTTACACTAATTGAGGGTCTTAGAGAGATCGATGTTGTTGTTTGGAATAGCAATACTCTCACTTTTGATGATTATATAGGCAGTGGAAAGTAAGTTGCTTGAATTTCACATAAAATTTCGAGTTTTTTTTCAGAGTTTTTGGGATGAGATTATGGGTATATTGAGCATTTTAAGTGAAACCCTTTACTTGTTTTAGAGTTCAACTTCATGATGTTCTTTCCCGTGGATATGATGATAGAGCCTGGCCTATTCAGACTAAAACTGGCCGGTATGTCTCTATGATCACACTCTCAAATCTAGATCTTGTTTCGCAATCGTGCTGATTTTAGTCTTTTGTTGAATTGTTGATGCTATTATTCTTACTATTGAAGTGTGTTGGTTAATGCCAATTCTATTTAATTGTTTAGTCTTTATAGTAAACAGTCTTTTGTTGAATTGTTGATGCTATTATTCTTACTATTGAAGTGTGTTGGTTAATGCCAATTCTATTTAATTGTTTAGTCTTTATAGTAAACAATATACCTCCTCCATTTCTATTTAGTTGACGCGTTTGATTTAGGCACATATATTAAGGAGAGAAGAGAGAGTGAGAGAGAATGGAAAAGGCAAGTGAGGTAGCTTGTAAATGCAAGGTAAAAAATTTGCACTAAAAGGAAACGTGTCAACTAAAAAAAACTTCCTAAAAAAAATACGTGTCAACTAAAAAGAAACGGAGGTAGTAGTTACTTGTCGAGGAGCACGATCATAGTGTGAAGCTTTTGCTGCTAATGAGAAGTGTTAAAGAGCAATGGTTTTTGTTGATCATAAACAGCCTTAAGTTGGTAAAGTCTGCGTACATCTAGAACTTATCTAACCTTGCCTTAGCAGAATAATTACTGGATTCTTGTTGCTCTTGTCGGAAGAATTTAAGTTTATCACTAGGTAATGAACTACATATAAGAATTTGTGGCTGATGTGGAAAGAAGAACAAGTGATTTGAGGTCTATATTGCTTGTGTTTAGAGCTGTCAAAAGTGACCCGATCCGAAATACCGACTCAAACCCGATATTAACCAACCCATCTGAACCCGAAAAAATGGTAACCCAAACCTGACCTGACCCAACCTGAAACCAACCCTAGACCTGAGTTGACCCGAGTATGTGAGACCCGAACCCGAACATGAACTCACCTGAATATGACCCGACCCGAATGTAACCCGTAAATTATTGACCTGAATCGAACCCGACTTGAACCAAAATTGATCCAAACCTGTTTTAACTCGTCAAAACCCGAATTTAACCCGACTTGTTACTAAACTGACCTGAATTCAACCCGACCCGTTCCTAACTCAACCCGAATTTAACCCAACCTATTACAAACCCGACCCTAAATCAACCTGACTTGTTATTGACCTGACCCGAATTTTTTTAAACCTATGACTAATCCGACCCAAAAATTCAACCCGATCTGTTACTAACCCGACTCAAAATCAACACGACTTGTTATTGACCCGACTTGTTATTGACCCAACCTAAATTCAACCCAAATTGTTCCTGACCCGATTTCAAATCACCTTAAATGCAATTTACACCACCTTATTACTGTTGATCAAAGCATTTTGTCCAAGAGACCACAAGGCTAGCAAAAGAAAGGAGCATCATCCTCAGATTTAAGAGTTAAATATAGTATATATTTGTTGTATGGTCAAAGGAGATAATTATCTTCCTAAATTATAAACTGTAGTTCCCTAGTATATTGCCATATATATTATAGTCAAAGGAAATAATTAGCTTTTATAGTTAGTTGAACCCGAATATGACCTGACTTGGAAATGACCCAGCCTGATTGTAACCTACAAATTATTAACTTGAACATAACCCGACTTGACTTCGAGAATGATCTGACTTGGAAATGACCCAACCTGATTATAACCCGCAAATTATTGACTTGAACCGAACCCGACTTGAACCCGAGAATGACCCGACTTGAAAATGACCTGACATGATTATAACCCGCAAATTATTGACTTGAACCGAACCCGACTCAAACCTAAGAATGACCCAACCTGATTCAAACCCGCAAATTATTGACTTGAACCGAACCCAACTCAAACCCGAGAATTACTTTAACCCGTTTTAACTTATGAATACCCGAATTAAGTCCGACCTATTGTTCACCCGACCCGATTGTAACCCGACATGTTATTAAACCCGACCTAAACATGACCCAAACCCGATAAGAAGTATGACTCGACGTGACCCTATTCAAGCATGACCCAACCCAAACCCGACCCGCATAGGTTATGAAATTAATCCGAATTGAATCAACCCGAGTTGACCCGACCAACTCTTACCAACCCGTTAACTAGAATTGACAGCTCACCTAAAACCTCCAAAATTTCTCAAAAAGCGTGGATATTAGTTTTCAATTCTAGAATTTTTTGATCTTTTTTCTCCCGGAAATAAAAATTGCCGAAATGTTTACCATGGTCCCTAATACCCTCCAAGAGTCCAATTAGGTGGGTGGAATTATCCAATTTGCCTTTAAACGGCCAATTTACTGGTTTAGAACTTGCGCCGATTTCATTAACTCAAACATACCACAAACATTTATGACAACATATAATCATCAAATATGGTTCCAAAGGACATTATATGACCCCGAGATGTATTCCCTAAAATCTAATTTCTTTTCGACACCAGCCCCGAAACTTCTAAATTTCTCAAATAGCATGTATATTGGCCTTCAATTTTAGAAATTTTTTTTACTTTTTTTCACCTGGAAATAAAATTTGCCGAAATGTTTACCATGTTCCCTAATACCCTTTGGAAGACCAATTGGGTAGGTGGAACCATTCTATTTTCCTTTAAACGGGCAATTTATCGGTTTACAACTTGCAACAATTTAATTAACTCAAGCCTACCACAAACATTGATGACAACATATAATGATCATACATGGTTCCAAACGGCATTATATGACCCCGAAATATATCCCCTAAAATCTAAAGGTTTTTCGACACCGGGCCTCGAAACATCCCAAATTTCTCAAAAAGCGTGGATTTCAATTTCGGAATTTTTTTACTTTTTTTCACCCGGAAAAAAATTTGCCGAAATGTTTACCATGATCTTTAATACCCTCCTGGAGTCTAATTGGGTTGGTCGAACCATCTAATTTGCCTTTAAACAACTAATTTAGCGGTTTATAACTTGCACCAATTTCATTAAATCAATCTTACCACGAACATTTATAACAACAAATAATAATCAATATGGTTCCAAACAACATTATATGACCCCAAGATATATCCCCTAAAATTTTAAGACTTTTCGACACCGGCCCTGAAACCTCCAAAATTTCTCAAAATGTGGATATTAGCCTTTAATTTTGGAAATTTTTTACTTTTTTTCGCTCGGAAAAAAAAATTGCAGAAATGTTTACTATGGTCCCTAATAACCTCTGGGAGTCCAATTAGGTGGGTGGAACCATCTAATTTGCCTTAAAATGACCAATTTACCGTTTTACAACTTACACCAATTTCATTAATTCAAGCCTACCACGAACATTTATGACAACAAATAATGATCATATATGGTTCCAAACGACATTGTATGACCCCGAGATGTATTTCTAATAATTTCAAGACTTTTCGACACCGGGCCTCGAAAATTCCAAAAATTCTCAAAAATCGTGGATAATAGCCTTCAATTTTTGAATTTTTTTGACTTTTTTTCGCACGGAAATAAAATTTGCCGAAATGTTTATCATGGTCTATAATAACCTCCGGGAGTCCAATTGGGTGGGTGGAACCATCCAAATTGCCTATAAACAACTAATGTACCGGTTTACAACTTCCACCAATTTCATTATCTCAAGCTTACCACGAACATTTATAACAACAAATAATGATCATATATGGTTCCAAACGACATTATATGACCCCGAGATATATCCCCTAGAATTTCAAAACTTTTCAGACACCGGACCTTGAAATCTCCAAAATTTATCAAAAAGTGTGGATATTAGCCTTCAATTTTGAAATTTTTTTTAATTTTTTTCGGCCGGAAAAAAAAAAATTGTCGAAATGTCTACCATGGTCCCTAATACCCATCGGGAGTCCAATTGGATGGGTGGAACCATCCAATTTGCCTTTAAACAACTAATTTACCGGTTTAAAACTTATACCAATTTCATTAATTCAAGCCTACCACGAACATTTATGACTACAAATAATGATCATATATGGTTCCAAACGACATTGTATGACCCCAAGATGTATTTCCTAGAATTTCAAGACTTTTCGACACCGGGCCCCGAAGATTCCAAAAGTTCTCAAAAAGCGTGGATAATAGCCTTCAATTTTTGAATTTTTTAACCTTTTTTCGCACGGAAATTAAAATTGCCGAAATGCTTACCATGGTCTCTAATACCCTCCGGGAGTCCAATTGGGTGGTTGGAACCATCCAAATTGCATTTAAACAACTAATTTACCGGTTTACAACTTCCACCTATTTCATTAACTCAAGCTTACCACGAACATTTATAACAACAAATAATGATCATATATGGTTCCAAACGGCATTATATGACCCCGAGATATATCCCCTAGAATTTCAAAAATTTTCAACACCGGGCCCTTAAACCTCCAAAATTTCTCAAAAAGTGTGGATGTTAGCCTTTAATTCTGGAATTTTTTATTTTTTTTCGCCCGGAAAAAAAATTTGCCGAAATATTTACCACGGTCCCTAATACCCTCCGGGATTCCAATTGGGTGGGTATTACCATCCAATTTGCCTTTAAACGACCCATTTACCGGTTTACAACTTTCGCCGATTTCATTAACCCAAGCTTACCACAAACATTTATGACAACATATAATGATCATATATGGATCCAAACGGCATTATATGACCTCGAGATATATTCCCTAAAATCTAAAGACTTTTCGACAGTGTGCCCCAAAACCTCCAAAAATTTATCAAAAAACGTGGATATTAGCCTTCAATTTTGGAATATTTTTTACTTTTCTTCGTTCCGAAATAAAAATTGCCAAAATGTTTACCATGGTGCCTAATACCCTCTTGGAGTCCAATTGGGTGGATGGAACTATCCTATTTGTCTTCAAACGACCAATTTACCAGTTTATAACTTGCACCGATTAAATTAGCTCAAGCCTACTACGAACATTTATGACAACATATAATGATCATATATGGTTTCAAACGACATTATATGACCCTGAGATGTATCCACTTAAATCTCAAAACTTTTTGACACCGAGCCTCGAAA